GTCAGGTCTGACTCGACAGCACATAACAATAACCAATCTCTGTATATACAGTCTTGCCCCATGATGCTTGTCATTTCTCAGCTTTAAATCCTTCAGTGTCCTATCACTCAACCTCAGGATAAAATTTAAGTCTCCTAGCATGACTTAAAAGGCTGTTCATGATGTGATCTTTGTCGAGCTCTCTAGCCTACTCTCTTCTACTTCACCACATGTACTCTGAGCTCTAGTTGATAAGTTACAGTGTTATACAGTTCCTTAGCACTTTCTTGCCTTTATACCTGTTGTTGCCTTTTCCCAGAACACCTCTTTACCCCCTACTCTGCCAACTGTGCCCCTATTTCGCCCCTACTCTGAGCAATGCCTAGCTCAGAAATCACTTCCATGGCTTCCAGCCAATAATAGACAGGTATATGAGTTGAACATTTCCCTGAGGTAGATACACTCCTGGAGAGAACAATCATGGGAGAAAGAAGGGCTGCTTATGCACAGGAAGACAGCTCAGGGGCAGGAGTGCATGGAGAGATGGACACAGGGAAGAGGTAACTATAGGGAGGAAGTGGGAGGGGAGCTGTTGCATTGTGGTGAATTGCGGTCAATGTCATGAGACAAAGTGTATGTAAACTGCTGTATGGAAAGTGAATTTGCTATGTAAATTTTCACCCAAATCACAATTTAAAAAAAAAAGAAAAGAAAAGAAATTACTTCCAGGAAGCCTTCCAAAATGCTCTTTGGCTGGGAAGGGTAAGCCTCTTCTAGACTGCCAATAGCATCATCTGTGACATTTGTCAAGGTGAAATTTACTTGTCTTTTACCAGTCTTTTGTTCCTAGGAGACTATGAGACACTTGAAAAGGGGATTGTTGCTTTATTTTTAAGTCACTAGTGCCTGACACAGGGTCTGGGACATAGGATTATTGTTATTTGCCATACAGTGGATTCCTACTCATGGTGACCCTGTGTCACTGGATAGCACAAATGGTAAAGTGCTCAACTACTAGATTTGAAAACTTATTGAGCACGGTTCCACTGCACACATGGGGTTGCCATGATAGGACATAGGAAGTACTTGATAAATATTGAATGAATAAAGGAGTTATTTAATTAATATGATGAATGAATGAATAATTAATTGTATCTTTTAGCACTTAGGTCCTCTTGATTACTCTCTAGAGTGTTTAGTTTCTGAAGCACAGCACTTAAACTTTGCTTGCATTTTCATCAGGATTTCTGATCACTTACCTTGTTTCTGACCCAATGGCCCAATCTTCCATGGGAGCACATTTCTGGTTCTCCTAGTCTCAACATTTTGCCCCATTGCCCTGTTCTACCACACCTTCCCATGGCCCTGCTACGGATGAGCAAGGCTATTATGGTGACAACATAAATTAGTGATTTTACTAAATACAGAAACAAGCAAGAATGTAAAGGTAATAAATTCTGGTCTTAAAAGCATAGCTTCAAGATCAATTTTAGGAATTTTAAAGTTTTATATGTTTTATTACCAAATACCAGTAATTTTTCTAAACTTAAATCCACCAGCCACCACTTGTCTATTAGCTTATTGTACTGTGGTGGCTTGTGTGTTACTGTGAGGTATTTCAAATACCAGCAGGGTCACCCATGGTGGACAAGTTTCAGCAGAGCTTCCAGACTAAGACAGACTTGGAAGAAGAAAGAGGCCACCCATTTCTCAAAGAATTGGCCAGTGAAAATCTTATGAATAGCAGTGAAACATTATCTGAGATAGAGCTGGAAAACTTTATGAATAGCCCTAAAACTTTGATGTAGAAGATGAGGCCCTCAGGTTGGAAGGCACTCAAAATAGGACTGGAGAAGAGCTGCCTCCTCAAAGCAGAGTCGACCTTAATGACGTGGATGGAGTAAACCTTTCAGGACATCTATCTGCTGATGTGCATGATTCAAAATGGGAAGAAACAGCTCCAAGCATCCATTAATAATCAGAACATGGAATGTACAAAGTATGAATGTAGAAAAATTGGAAGTTGTCAAAAATAAAATGGAACCCATAAAGATCGATATCCTAGGCATTAGTGAGCTGAAATGGACTGGTTTGGGCCATTTTGAATTATACAACCATATGATCTACTATGCCAGGAATGACAAATAGAAGAGGAATGGTGTGGCATTTATTATCACAAAGAATGTTTCAAGATCTATCCTGAAGAATAATACTGTCAGTGATAGGATAATATCCATATGTGTATAAGGAAGACCAGTTAATATTACTATTATTCAAATTTACACACCAACTTCCAAAGCCAGAGATGAGGAAATTGAAGATTTTTACCAACTTCTGCAGTCTGAAATTTACTGCATGCAATCAAGATGTGTTGATTATTACTAGTGATTGGAATGCAAAGGTTGGAAATAAAGAAGTATCACCAATAGTTGGAAAATATGGCCTTAGTGATAAAAATTACATTGGAGATCACATGATAGAATTTGGCAAGACAAGCAACTTATTCATTACAAATACCTTTTTCAACAACATAAACAGTGTCATACATGTGGACCTCACCAGATGGAATACACAGGAATCAGATTGACTATATCTGTGGAAAGAACCAATGGAGAAGTTCAGTATCTTTAGTCAAAACAAGACGAGGAGATGATTGTGGAACAGACCATCAATTGCTCATACACATGTTCAAGTTGAAACTGAAAATAATTAAAACAAGTCCACAGAGCCAAAATACACCTTGATTACACACCACCTAAATTTAGAGACCATCTAAAGAATAGATTTGATGAACTGAACACTAGTGACCAAAAATCAGATGAATTGTGGGATGACATCAAGAACATCATCCATGAAGAAAGCAAAAGACAGGAAAAGAAGAAAAGACCAAAATGGATGTCAGAAGAGACTCTGAAACTTGCTCTGGAATGGAAAGCAGCTAAAGCAAGTAGAAGAAATGACAAGATAAAAGAGCTGAACAGAAGATTTCAAAGAGCAGCTCGAGAAGACTACGTCAATTATTATAATGAAATGTGCAAAGACATGGAGTTAGAAAACCAAAAGGGAAGAATGCATTTGGCATTTCTAAAGCTGAAACAACTGAAGAAAAAATGCAAGCCTCGAGTTGCAGTGTTGAAAGAGTCTGTGGGCAAAATATTGAATGATGCAGAAAGCATCAAAAGAAGATGGAGGAAATACACAGAGTCACTGTACCAAAAATAATTGGTCGATGTTCATCCATTTCAGGAGGTGGCATATGATCAAGAACCAAAGGTATTAAAGGAAGAAATCAAAGCTGCACTGAAAGAATTTGCTAAACATGGCTCCAGGGATTGATGTTTCAATCTCCACTGAGATGTTTCAACAAATGGCTGCCACACTGGAGGCACTCACTTGTCTATGCCAAGAAATTTGTAAGACAGCTACCTGGGCAGCTGACTGGAGGAGATCCATATTTGTACCCATTTCAAAGAAAAATGATCCCACAGAGTGTGGACTTTATCAAATAATGTCATTAATATCACATGCAAGTAAATTTGCTGAAGATAATAAAAAAATGGTAGCAGCAATATATTGACAGAGAACTTCCAGAAATGCAAGCTGGATGCAGAAGAGGACGTGGAATGAGAGGTATTATTGCTTATGTCAGATGGATCTTGACTGAAAGCAAAGAATACCAGAAAGATGTTTACTTGTGTTTTTTTGACTATGCAAAAAAACATTTTAAAGCATTTGATTGTGTGGATCATAACAAATTATGGATAACATTGAGAAGAATGGGAATTCTAGAACACTCAACTATGCTCTTGAGGAATCTGTACATAAATCAGGAGGCTGTCACTCAAACAAAACAAGGGGGTACTGCATAGTTTAAAATCAGGAAGGGAGTGTGTCAGGATTATATCCTTTCACCATATTTATTCAATCTGTATGCTGAACAAATAATCTGAAAGACTACAGTCTGTAGTATGGATTACACCTCAACATAAAGAAAACGAAAATCCTCACAACTGGACCAATAAGCAGCATCACCATAAATGGAGAAAAGATTGAAGTTGTCAAAGATTTTATATTACTTGGTTCCACAATCAACACCAATGGTGGCAGCAGTCAAGAAATCAGACAACGTATTGCACTGGGCAAATCTAGTGCAAAAGACCTCTTTAAAGTGCTCAAGAGCAAAGATGTCTCATTGAACACTAAGGTGCGCCTAACCGAACCCATGCTGTTTTCAATCACCTCATATGCATATGAAAGCTGGACAACAATTAAGGACAGAAGAAGAGTTGACCCTTTTGAGTTGCAGTGCTGCAGAAGAATACTGAAAGTACCAAGGACTGCCAAAAGAACTAACAAATCTGTCCTGGAAGAAGTGCAGCTGGAATGCTCCTTTGAAGCAAGAATGGCCAGACTTCGCCTCACCTACTTTGGTCATGTTGTCAAAAGGGACCATTCCCCGGAGAAGGATATCATGCTTGATAAAGTGGAGGGTCAACAAAAAAAGGGGAAGGCCCTCAATGAGATGGATTGACACAGTGACTGCAACAATGGGCTCAGGTATAGCAAGGATTGTGAGGCTGGCACAGGACTGGGCAGTGTTTCATTCTGTTGTACACAGGGTTGCTATGAGTCAGAGCCAACTCAATGGCACCTAACAACAACAAAAACATATCCACCAAGCCTCACAAACTATGCATAGGTTACCTTTTATAATAGCTTATATTTTCTTCTCTTGAATCTATCATGTTCTCCAATGTATTAGTAGGTGACTAGTGGGGAGTAACAGGCATAAATGATAGGTCCCCTGAGAAAGCAAAGGGACTAAATACATGAAGAAACAGAATTCTAAGCTTGTCTATGTCTACAACACAAAGATAGTTTAATCTGTAGCAAAAACATTTCCTACCAGTACATTTCTACTCCCACCAATGTAGAGAAAGCATGATCATATCAAGACATTTATATTTATCCATGTCAAATTTCCTAATAACAATTTTTAAAAACTGGATGAAATTTATTACCTGACTCCTATTTTGTGAATAGGGAGAATCTTGTGCTATTCTTTTGGAAAAGTCTTGAACCTGCAGTGAAAACAGGCAATCTTTCATTAATGGCATTGTGTCTCATGTTTGAATTTGTTTACTTCTGTTGTTCATAACAAGCTTTAAGAGTATTACTTTAGCCTTCAGTTGATCAGTCTGTTCTTTTAACTTCTGACACATCTGTTTCCCTTTTGATATCTCTTCAAATACGTTAGAACTTGAGGAAGAGTCTTCCCGAGAGGCTGGTGACAATTTAAAGAGACTTGTCTCAGATTCTATTCCTATATAAGAAAGAATATGTTTTGGCTGCCATTCATATCAACTTATCGCAGTTTTGTTAACTACTGAAAACAGAAGTCTGTGGCAATCATCACCATTTGCTATTTTTGTTTAAAAAGCCCACAATAGGCCTATCTATGTCAAAGAAGTTGAAAAATGATAATACCTGTAAGAAGTTCTTGGTGGGTATGTGCTGCAGGCTCTATCTGCACAATTAAAGGATAAGAAAACATTACTCTAGATCAACAAAGCCATTATTCAGAATGATCAGTTGTGTTCTGGTCATCACAGAGGTAGCTAATGGCCCAATGCCACAATTGAATTCCGGTTCTGATACTTACCTGCTGGATGACCCTGGGCAATTGCTTAATCACTGTAAGCCTCAGATTGTTTAGTGGTAAAATAGGGATAATAATAGAATCTACCTCATAGGGTTGATATGAGGATTAAATGTTAAATATTTACCATAATATCAGGCGCATGGTAAGCATTCAATATGTGCTATCCATTATTACTACTGTATTTGTTACTGTTATGTGGTATACTCAAACATTTCTCCTAAAACTAGGCCATAAACTGGGAGTTCTGGTGGCATAGTGCCTGAGGCATTTGACTGCTAACCAGAAGACTGGCGGTTCAAACCCACCAGCCACTCTTCAGAAGGATGGTTGGTCAAGGAAGGAAGGTTGGGCAATCTATTTCTATACAGATACTGCCTCTGAAACCAAAGGAGGGGTTGCTATGAGTCGGATCTGACTCAATGGCAGTGAGTTTGGTTTTTGGAGTTTTTTTCGGGCTATAAATGCCATGAGGACAGGGACTGTTGTTGGTCTTGTCACAGCTCTGTTGCTGGTGCTCTCGTAGCACCAAACGCGTAGTAATCACCCTCTAGAAGGAAAACAGTGTTCATTAAGTTCCAAAATGTGTGTCAAGACAGTGATTGTTTACACAGGACATGACCCTTTTCTACTTGCCACAGGCTGACTGTACAAAGTATGTTTATAATTCCAGAGTGATTCACCTTGAAGACCTTATCATTGTTCCCATCACATAAAGTCCAAAAACACCCTCGTGTCAGAGAACTAAATGGTTAGCGGTCAAATTAGACTATGGTCGTAATGAGTATCTCAATTATATTACAGATAGGAAACCTATGAAGCTTGGTTTTACAATCTGACTCCACAGGACTAGAGAAAATCAGACTCTTGACCTCAGGCTCCCACTGCCAGAGGGAGATGAGCCTGCTACTCATTCGGCTCTTACTAAGGACAGGGCACTGAGCACTGTGCCCACTCAGGGACTTTTTCTCCAGCAAAATGAGGAACTCTAAGCCTTCTGAGTGTCAGTGGAATATAGATCGCTCCAAGACCGAACAAGCATCCCAGTTGTGGCCAGGTGGGCTTTTGGCTCAAGGATGGGGGGAAGTTCTACTTCCCAGAGTGTTTAACTGAAAAAGAAGGGAGTTGAAGCATGAAAGAGTAGAAGTGGAAATAGGCAAACAGGATTGTTCAGTTCAGGGCACCCTTCATAAAACATCTTCAAAGAAAGACCATGGAGTCCTGGCAAAGTACTAAACCGAAAATGTTTACGTTGGTCATTGATGTGAATTTGCCTTATTACAAAATCTCAAAAAAGCAATGAGATCATGTTGGGTAATTGGGTTGGGGGATGGGAAGTTAAGAGGAAAAGGTATAATTTTAAGCATTAAAGTGGTATAATTTTAAGCATTAACACAATTTTGCACTACATGGTTATAAATATAACAGCTTGAAATATGTTATTTAAGATCTTAATTCAATTCAACTTAGCATTAATAACTATGGGAGTAATAATATATATAAGACACAAGGCCAAGCCTCTGGGGGAAGTTAGGCAATGGAAAGATCAGACAAGAGTGTTACACTCCAGAGCCTTCCAATCTAGTGGGAGAAACAGACATGCCCCAGATCATTGATCCAAAGCATCCCAAGATAAATGTTCTGACAGAAGTACAAAACAAATCAGGACAGGAGAGAGAGTGAATTGAGGGAATCTGGAAAGTTCTGTGGCACAAGTAGAAATTGAAAAAGGCCATGAAAATGAGCAGGTCTTGGGTAAGTAGAAGCAGTCCATACAAAGCAGGGGCTCAGAGAGTTCAGGACCTGAGGAAGGGTTCAGACTAGCTGGGTACAGGATTACTTCTTGGCAGAAAGAAGTGAAAAATAGAAGGGTAACCAGTTGCTTCTTCCATCAGTTTTAGCTCATGACACCCTGTGTGTGTCAGAGTAGGACTGTTCTCCATAGAGTTTTCAGTGGCTGATTTTTCGGAAGTAGATCACAGGCCTGTCTTCTGAAGTGCCTCTGGGCAGACACAAACCTTCAACTTTTCACTTAGCAGCAGTACACGCTAAGCGTCTGTAGCATCCAGGAACTCAGAAGAGCAGGATGAAGTTTAAAAAAGAGAGAGAGAGAGAGAACGAGAGAGAGAGGCCCAAATCCTAGGTTGAAGAATTTGGGTTTTGTTCTTTTATGTATCGTTGTTAGTCCTCTGATTTTACCAATAAGGACATCCAATAAGCTTCTGAAAGGTCATTTACTCAGGGTTACCCAGAACCAGAACCCAGCTCCATGTCATTCTTAAACCCCGTACTGATGTGGATGATCTGTGGTACTGATTTCTATTCACTGAAGACTATTCTCTCTTACCTGTATTTGTTGTGAAGATTCAACAGTTTCCTTTTTCTGCTCTTGATGTTTTTCAACACAATTTGAACTAGGCATAGTTTCTAAAATGTCTTGCACAAGAGCAGATTTATCTCTCAAGTTAAGAGAAGATATTGCTTGTTTAGCTACCGTAAGTGGTTTATTAATTATGTTATTTTTAGGGATTTTTACTCTGGGAGCAACTTTAGAGAAATCAGGGAGCCAATACTGAACTTGACCTTGGCTGTATTTGAACCCATTCCAGGAACTTGATTTTTCAGTCTGTTGTTTTTGGGGTGCCAGCCCTTGGAAACTTTTTTGATAATCATTTGGACTCTTGGTTTGAGTTAGAAAGTTTGAATTCCCTTGAAGGCTGCTGCATCCCGCAACCACTGGCTCTTCTAAATCAGACATGTTTTCTTCCATTTTGACTGCAGAACAACTGGGCTTACTATTGTCTTCACCATCCCTTTTTGGGTTGAGTTGGTCATCAATTTCTGGAGTTTGTTCTTTTGGCCAAGAATTCTTAACGTAACACAAAATGATATTTTTAATATTAGTTTCATCAAAGCTATCAATATTAGAGGTCTCTGGGAGAGTTTCACAATCAATGCCCTGGCCTTTTAAGAATTCCTCTTTAGAAAGGTGATTGAGTAAAATATCAGAAATGTTTGACTTTGAAGCGTTTTCTTTATTAGGTGGAATATGAAGAATTATAGTGCATTGTTTATCATGTTTTTTGTTGACAGCATTTTCAGTAATTTTATCTAGAATCACGGCCATATCTGCATTTCTGCAAGTCTTATTATGTGTAGCCTTTTCCTGAGGGTCATCTACTGTTAAAATAATTTGATGTGAGACATCAAAAGTGTCATTGTTTGAGGTAAAATTATAATCATTGCATATATTAATTTGGGGAATATCATCATCATAATTTGTATCTTTGGAAAAATCAGCTTCATCCATGTACGTGCAGCCTGATGTCTCTTGTACTCTGATGCCTGGTATTGATGTTCTTATTGTAACAATAGGTCTTCTACTTTTCATTGATCATCTTCATTGTGTGTCCTATTCTGTGAGAAATGAGAAGAGCCTCATTGTTAAGTATATCAGAATGATGTATAAAACTATGCTTATCCTGGCATCGATAATAAACTAAAATGCTTTTCATTTAGAGAAATTGAGTTATAAATATGAAGGCAAGCTCAACCAAAAGCTAAATACCATGTTAACATCATTAGTGGTATAAAAGAGAAGAACTGAAAAGGAAGGGAAACTTAAAAAAATTTTAGTTTCCATTCCTTAAATTTTGAGGGAGACACTGATCTATAGTTAATAACCAAAAATGTTGGGTATTTATCAACCTCTTTTAGGAAATACAATTTGGCATTTGTAAAGGAGTCCTGGTGACTCGATGGTTAAGTGCTTGTCTGCTAACTGAAAATTTGGCCATTGGAACCCACCCAGCACTCTGTGGGAGAAAGAGCTAGTAATCTGCTCCCATGAAGATTACAGCCCAGTAACATTATGGATCAGTTTTGCTCTGTCACAAAATGTCATTTTGAGTTGGAATCAACTCCACAGCACCTAACAACAGCAATCTCCCCAAACAGAAGTTTGGGATACAACTAAAGGACTGATTTTTAAAAGAACAGTGGCCATGACTTTTCTACAAATCACTGATGGATTTCTGAGTTGTGTGGTACTGAAAGCTGGCTTGGCTCAAACATAATCATCAACCTTCTCTGCTTCTGGTGCATTTTCACCTGTCTCTTCAGACATTCTGAGCCCTTCTCCTGATCTTCCTTTGAATATCTGAGAAGGGCCCACAAGGACTGATAGAAATATGATCTAGGAACACCAGGGCCTTTTGAACACCTGGAGGCTAATCTTCAGCCAAGCTTCTCTCTTCTAATTAAGACCCATGCAGGAACCTAGCTGGAGAAGCTGTCTTCCTTTTAGGGATCCCAATCAGCTGTCATGGCCCAGGACATAGCTGCATGTCTTGGGAATTAGATGGAAAATGGTCAGACAAAACCATTAGTATGATTTTTTTTTTTTTTTCCTGAGCAAGTCATTTAGACATCTCAAACTTGATTAGTGAATTTTGGGGGCAGCTCCTTAGAAGCAGGAAAAATTGTCTCAAGTGTTGGATAGAGTAATCAGGCTTTAAAGAGCCCTAGTGGTGCAATGGTTAAGTACTTGGCTGCTAACCAAAAGGTTGGTGATTCAAACCCATTCATCTGTTCCATGGGAATAAGACCTGATAATCTCCCCTACAAAGATTATAGCCTAGAAAACCCTTTAGGGCAGTCGTACTCTGCCACACGGGGTTGCTAAGAGTTGGAATTGACTTGACTGCATCCATCAACCAGGCTTTGATCTGACCTGAACACCTTTGCTGTTACTAACCCAGGGTAACCCAGCTAGAGATTGACTCTGTCTTGCCCACACCATGACAGGGTTGAACTAACTGATCTCGGAGGTCCTCTCTATATTTAAATTTTCCTGAGTCTACGAATTTGTGATTTACTAAATAAGCTAAAGTAATGTGTCTGACAAATAAAATTGGGGTTTAATTCTCTGAGAAAAAGGAGTACAAACTAAATGAGATAAAGACATTTGTGAAAGATTATACAAAAATCTTAATTTATAGATATATGCCCATGTTAAAGACTCCAGATTAAGAGATAAAGATCACTGCAGGATCCCTTCAAATCATTTATAGTATCCAATGGTTAACTGTAAAATGAGATACATCTATATCAACAGAACTGCAGGCTATTCTAACCCAAGCTAAAGGACAAGGGACAATGCTTCCATAGAAGTCAAAGTCACAGTGGGAAAGCAGGAGTTGAGAGACCTGGATTCCAATCCTAGCTGGCTCCTTAGCCTACTACTATATGTTCTTGGGCAAGTTATTTACCTTTCCTGGGTCTCAGTTTCCTTTTATGAAAAGTAGGGATAATACCACCTAGTTCACAGTCTTGCTAGATGATTACATGAGAGAATGCACATAGAGCACTTAGTATAGTTCCTGACTCAGAGCAAGCACTCACCAAAAAGTTTAAAAATGAAAACAACAAACCAAATTCAGTGTTGAAATACTGAAGAAATGTCCAGGTACAGAAGGCTAGGCATCCTTTATCTCCAGGATATTTAAAGGATAGTGGAGGAAATGGCACACAGTAGACACAATCTCTAAGACAAAAACCAAACTCACTGCCGGCAATTTGGACCTGACTCATAGCGACCCCTCCTTGGGTTTCCAAGGCAATATCACTACGGAAGTAGATTGCCCAATCTTCCTTCCGAGGAGTGGTTGGTGGGTTTGAAGTGCCAGCCTCCTGGTTAGCAGTCAAATGCCTTAGGCACTATGCCACAGGAGAGCCTTGAATCTATTTTTAAAATCTACCTGTAAATGAATGTATGGTTTGATTATGAAAAATATCACTAAATAATTTAAGACAAAACTTTGTCTATTTTCTGAAGGAGAAAGAGTATCTTTAAACGTCTTCAGAGAATAGGGGAAAGGAAAACAAATTCGAATTCTAGTTTCGCAGAACATTTAATGATCCAAGCTACTGCCCCAGACTCATCCTCAGTCTTTCTTTGAACCTTGAGGTACTCATCACCGAGCTAAGGAAGAAAAAGACTCTTTGGTAGCCAGATTCCAGTTTCTAAAATATCATTCCATTTAAACAAATAAAATGTATATTTAAATTTTGCTACAACCCTTAAGAAAAGAAAGAGAGAGCACCAAAATAAGCCAGAAGGCTGCGTATTTCTCTCATTACCGCCAGGAAAACAGCCTTCTGTTATCATCACCATCATCATCATCATTCTTACTATTATTATTTTGCAAAATAGCAAGAGGATTTGGGAAAAGGACAAGCCACATCCTTAGCACTGTCACGGGCCCCTTACACATAGCTTGAAGAAACTGGAACATCTTGAACATCTTCCCACATCAACATCCAGCTCAATCTTGGAATCCAAAGACACTTCCAGATTCCAGTCAGAACCCAACAGAACCTTCCTTCCTATTAAGTCCAATTTGCTTTATTGAAGTCAAGTGACAGCATCTGGGGCCATTATTGCTCAAGCAGGTACACTGGCCATTATGTGCTCAGCAATAGCTCACAAATCACTCTGAGCATGACCACTTTGAGCGAAAGAAGCCAGGACAGCACAGTCAGCTGCCTGTGAAAACACCTGCAACTGGGTGCTGAGCAAGGATGAGCAACAAGGTAATCACCATGCGAACAACTATCCCTGTGTGGTTTATGTTATTATGAAGTCTGAATTTGGCACTGAAGTGTTGTCTTAAGCTCACTAACTTGCCATATTCAAGATAAGATGACCATGGCTGCAATAACTGGGTACTAGACACAATCAAGAATATCTATGGATGGGAAAAACTAAAGCTCCTTAATTAAAGGCCAAAAACGGTCAGCAAATCATTATTTCTGTCTGGTAGGTGATGTTTCTTTTATTCAGCCCATTTAGTGGTAATGTGTTGTTGTATACTGGAAGACTGTTTTCATCATCAAAGGAAAACTGAGGGGGTAATATGTCTGTGACAATCTCTCAACCTTTTCCCCACTATCCTCTGTGTTCTGTGTTTAGACCTCTGATAGCCTCCAGATAAACCAGGGAGGATGTGTATGATGCAGAGGTGGAGGTGCAAGCACCAGTGTTTCCCCCCACGCTTCCCGCTTCCCTCCACTAAAGTAGCAGCATAGTTAGATACATTCTCAGGTCCTAAATCTGCTCTTCTAACATCAGCCCTACTGACTTTGCAATGACAGTAAGAGTTAACTATTATAGGTGATGATACAACAACCCAAATTCTTCTTATTACTTTATATATGTGTCATCTAGAACATGAACAGATGACAGGAGCCTTAAGTAATGATCATCAATATTACATACAACACAAAGCAATAGGTGGCTCAGTGTCTTCCACCAAGACAACTCTGTAATCTGCACAAAAAGGTAAAACAAAGGCAGTAGCAATAGAAAAACTCACTTACATCTAGTCTCTGGATATCACAGGCTGAACTGCTTGAAGGGCCTTGCAACGCAGTGAGCAGTCCTCTAATTGTAAGTCATTTTTTTCCGATAGTTGGAAGTTGACTGCAATTGAATAATAGAACAAAAACCGAGCTTCAAAATCAAGGTGTGCCTGCTTCTTCTGGGTTCCTTCAAGTGCGAGAAAGTGGCTTTGGAGACTACGCAGGAAGCTTCTGCTGTGGTCTAAACTTTGGTCCTTTTTTGTTGTTTGAGTTTGGTTTTTTTTTTTTTTTTTTTTTGTCTTTTAAGAGCATTCAGAAAACAAAAAAACACTTGGTTTGATTCTTTTAAATTTCATATTCCCTTCCTCTATTCCTTGCTCAGGATTTCTATTTGCTCATGAAAGAAAATGGATGATGGCTCAGAATAATGTGTCCTAGACCACACCCAGGGGTCAGGTGTTCATGAATTTGTTTCCAGTGTACAGTGTTTTTAGATTAAAATAGCTTGAAAGGTAATGTGATATAGGCCCCCTCTGTAATAACTACATTATACTTTGGTAATCCTATCCACTAACTCTATCCCAGAAATGTGGGGTGCCTACAAATGCAGTGTCTGTGACTGTAACCATATACCTTTCAGTGTGGCAGTCTGGTTTCAGCCTATTGTTGCTGAGTGGCAGAAGCTAGATACAGTGAGGGAGCAGCAAATCAATCCAATCCTCCCTGGAGAGCCAGATGGATACATTATTTATAGTCAGTCTTAGAGATGTATTCTTTACGTGACTGTACATGAATCTGATGACCAGCTGTTACAGATTATTTATCTTCAAGTTATTTTAAAAGTCAGAAAAAAAATCTTTTAAAATTGTGAGCAAATGAGTATTTGAAGAGGCGGCTTCCTGGTGTTTTGCCAGCAGCCTGTGCTTGGTTTTTGCCTTGCTCTTTAGA